CCCTAAATTCCATGATTCTATGATAATAAGAGCTTATCTAAGGTCCAGTGGTTAAGTAGAATTATAGAATCAACCTGGTTGGAAAAGACCTCCAAGATCATCCAGTCCAGCCCTACCGTGGTCACTAGCCCATGGCACTAAGTGCCACATCCAGTCTCAGCTTGAAAACCTCCAGGGATGGGGAATCCACCACCTCCCTGGGCAGCACATTCCAATGCCTGAGCACTCTCTCTGGAAAAAATCTCTTCCTAATATCCAACCTAAACCTCCTCTGGCAGAGCTTGAGTCTGTGCCCTCTTGTCCTTGTAGTTCTCGGTGTATGAAAGAATTGAGTTTTTTTTCCCCAACCTTAAAAGTACTATGTATCATTTTATATACCTCTGTTTTGGACCTGGTCTTGGAGGGAATAAAGGAAGAGGAGTTCATCACTTTGTAGAAACAGATAAAATAAATATTTTCTGCAGGAAGAATAAATACATTGGACTTGAGTTAAATAATAAACTGTAGTTTGTTTATTACGTACAGATCGTCCCAAACATAGTTTCATCCCTCAGAGATTGCTCTCCCTAGCCTAGCCTAGTTTAGTTTATTATTTCTGCCTTTTGCTCCCTTGCCATTAAAGTCCCTGCTGGTTTGACTGGAGTCTTGCTAACACATTTTTTGAGGTTTTATGGGGTTGGAGTTAAATTTGTCTCTGTAATAACATATACCTCTGCCTGTGTGCACCTGTGCACAGACATGTGAGTATGATGTGCATTTGGAAGGACAACAACTCCTGTTAGAGTGCTGACAGAGGAAAGGAAAAGAGGCTTATTCCAATGAAAAATAACTGTTCAAAATAAACAACCTGAAAAAGGTTAAGTACTGAAAAACTAGCTGAGATGCTAAGTGAATGTCCCTAGTTCTTAAATCCATGAGCTCTTGCTGGGCCAGAAAGTTGTTTTCTTTCTTGAGGGCCTGAGGGATGCAGTTTACAGTGCAGCTCTTACATAAGTGATGCAGCTAGGACAACTTGTGTACTTCAACCAGGAAGAAGAAAACAATAGTGAAATACACACTGAGCATAAATGTGTTTCCTGGTATTTCGTGTGGTTTCTTTGTACTTTTATCAGCTGTTTTTTAAAATCCATCCAATATCTCTCAAGATAACACAATCTTTGCCCTTTTTACTGTGCAATCTGGGGAAGTTAATCTTCTGCCACTTTACCTCCACCTTGTCAAATGTTCTTTTGTCTCAGTTGTACTGAAAGTTTATTCCTGGTTTAGGTGACTCTGAAACTTAACAGTGGAGTTTCCAAAGGAGAGGGTTGTACTCTGATTTCCTTGCATCTCTCTCAACACTTTACACCTAATAACTGCAGTTTTTCTTGGCTTATTATATTCCTCTCATAGAGGTTTTCAGAGCTGTAGAACTGCAAACTGCCATGAGACTTTGGGATGTGTATAACCTCTGAAACTACCTCTAGTTTTTATGGTTAGGTGTATATTTCTAACAGGCACAGGTTGTTGGGAGCAGAGCTGGATAAATGACTTCAGCAGTCAACACTAACCTATATCCTCTGGAGAAACTCTTCAAGGCACAGGATGTAGCTGCATATCAGTCCTAATGCCAAGTGCTAACACACTGAAATGTGTTTGTACTCTGCATAATACTCTCAAATTTCCTGCCTCAGCCACTGAAAATGTCCATGTTTGCTGTGTTAACCACCACAGAAGCTGGTTGTCTACTAGAATCCTAATCTCTGGTCATCTGACCATTTCAAAATCCCAGTCTGTTTTCATTACAGCTTGGATTTTATTGTTGTGTTCCACAGGTTAGGGTGTCCTGGGTTTACATTGCCGGAATATAAGCCAACGCCAGTAGAAGGAGGAGCTTCAAAATCCCTCTTTTTTCCAGATGAAGCCATCAATAAACATCCTAGATTTAGGTAAGAGTATTTGGGGAGTGTGAGTTTTTATCTGTGCATAAATATTGTAGACATACCTGCAAATTCTTTGTTACTGGAACAGAGAGCACTGAGGTTAGTTCCTGCAGATATAACATGGACAGAAATGGTGCCATGACATGTGTTTTCTGTCAGTGATTTAAGAAAATAAACTGTTAAGTTCAAGTAGCTTTATATAATAGTTCATGCTATTATGGGGCACAAGGTGTTGCTTATGCCACTTCAGAATTGTTTCCAGTTTGAAATCCCATGGCTAAATGCTTCCATCACAGTTAATCCAACCTTTGCTTAGGTGTGTAACAGCAACACCTCAGTATGCTCAGTAGTTACTCTGAAATGGACCACTGTGTGTTTATTTAAAAATACCTTTCAACCTGCCCTGGCATTCTTCTGGTCTGTGGCCTTCTGATTCTTCTATCAGCATAGTACTGTGAAGTCCATCAAAATAAGACTCTACTGATGAAAAATTCAGTGTTATATCTGTTACAACCTATCTTAACTAGGCAAAGAAGCATCCTGAAGGAAAATGCTCAAAATAAATAGGAAGTTGGCAGTCTGCAACCCTGAGAGTTGCTGAGAAACTAACTGCAAAAGCATTAGCATGAAGAGAAAACTTGAGATAATTGAACAAACCTTCTCTTGTTGTAGTACACTGACCAGAAACATTCGGCACCGAAGAGGAGAGAAGGTTGTGATAAATGTACCAAGTGAGTAAATTCAGCCTGTCTTTATTTTTCCAAATAATTGCTCAGTCTCGTGCTGTGAGTTACTGAGTTCCTGTATTTTCCACACAGTATTTAAAGATAAGAACACACCGTCACCATTTATTGAGACGTTTCCTAATGATGATGGAGAAGCAGCAAAGGCAGCAAAGCCTGACTATATATACATGGATGCTATGGGCTTTGGAATGGGAAACTGTTGTCTCCAGGTAAAATGCTCTCAAGATGTTACTGCATGTTGTCTTCCCTAAATGCTTCCCTTTTCAAGACCTGCCTTATGTCTACTCTCTTAATTCAACTGATGCGTTTTCTGAGTGGCAGAATGGGAAATGAAAGAACAATTGTAGTGTTGTACCTCGTAATCTGGTCTTAAAATCCAGGTATATTGGGTTTGTGTGGCCAGGTTTTGGTAGCAGAGAGGCTAGAAGTTGCTGGAAGCTTCTCCCATGTCCAACAGAACCAATGCCAGCTGATTTCAAGACAGAGCCACTACCAGCCAAGGCCCTCAGGGGTGGTGGTAGCACCTCCGGGATAATATATTTAAGGAGGGAAAAAAATGCATAATGACACTGCAGCCAGAGTAGGAGTGAGAATATGTGAGAGTGACAACTCTGCAGACACCAAGGCCAGCAAAGGAGGAGGGGGAGGAGGTGCTGCAGGCACTGGAACAGAGATCCCCTGGAGCCTGTGGTGAAGACCACAGTGAGGCAGGAGGTTGGCAGTGGAGCAGATATGGACCTGCAGCCTCCAGAAGATCTCACCCTGGAGCAGATGGATGCCCAAAGGAGGCTGTGACCCCATGGAAGCTCATGCTGGAGCAGTCTGTTCCTGAAGGACTGCACCCCATGGAGGGACCCAGGCTGGAACAGCTCACAAAGGATAGCCCATGGGAAGGTTTGTCATGGTTTAAAGCCAGCCAGCAAATAAATACCACACATGCATACATCCCTGTGGGTGTGGGATGGAGAGGAGAATCAGAGGTGAAACTCGTGGGTTGAGATAAAAACAGCTTAATAATGGAAATAAAGTAAAATATAGTAATAATAGTAATGGAGATGAGGGAGAAGGTAATAAAAGCCAAGAAAAAAAGTGATGCACAGTGGTACAGTTGCTCACTGCTTGCTGACTGTCCCTGAGCAGTGATCAGCCCCTCCCAACCAATTCCCCCCAGTTTATATACTGGGCATGATGCCATGTGGTTTGGAATTATCCCTTTGGCCAGGTCAGTCAGCTGTCCCAGGTGTGCTCCCTCCCAGCTCCTTGTGCACCTGCTTGCTGGCAGAGCATGGGACACTGAAGAACCCTTGATTTAGAGCTCTGCTCAGCAACAACTGAAACATCAGTGTGTTACCAACACTATTCTCATACTGAATCCAAACCACAGCACTGTACCAGCCACTAGGAGCAAAACTATCCCAGCTGAAGGTAGGACAAGGAAGCATGTTGGAGCAGCCAGTGGAGGACTGTCCCATGGGAGGGACCCACACTGGAACAGGGGAAGGCTGTGAGGAGTCATCCCCCCGAGGAGAAAGGAGCAGCAGAGGTGATTTTTGACTAGATGATTTGTAAGGTCCATTCCAACCCCTAAAATGCTCTGATTCTGTGTGTGATGGAACCGACCACAGCCCTTAGTCCCTGTCCCCCTGTGCTGTTGGGAGGGGAGGAGGGAGAGAATTTGGGAGTGAAGTTGAGCCTGGGAAGAAGGGAGGGCTGGGGGAAAGGTGTTTTCAGGTTTGGTTTTTATTTCTGATTATTCTACTCTGATTTGGCTGGTAATAAATTCAGTTAGTTTCTCCAAGTTAAGCCTGTGATGGTAACTGGTGAGTGATCTCTCCCTGCCCTTCTCTCAATCCATGAGGCTTTTCCCTTCCCTGTCCAGCTGAGGAGGGAAGTGACAGAGCAGCTTTGGTGGGCACCTGGCATTCAGCCCAGGTCAGCCCAACACTCCAGGTTTATTTGCTTGCATTCTATTTATTTTCTGCTAATATTCCAATGTAATTGGATGACTTACTTAAGGGCTTTCTTGGACTGGTCACACTACGTTTGATCCACCACCTGCTCCTGGAACTCCAGCACTTTTCAAGTGTGAAAGATCATCTTCCACTGTGGTCATCTTTCAGGCATGACCACAGGACGCTGTGGAGGTGGAAACTGAGCTGTCTTGTAGAAATGTGAGGGATTTTGTGGTCATTTATTGTTGGTGTTTTCCCTTATCTGCATTCTTAGCACAGTCAAAGCAGGGAGTGCCAAGAGGTCATGGGAATATTTTCATAAAAAGTAGTTTTCTGCTTTTGTATCACTTGATTTTATTTACAAACATCAGGAACTCCTGTATAAAGTTTCTCCTTAAATATTTTTATCTGTCTGCTAGGGAGTTGTCTTCTCACTGCTTGTACCATGAGCCTACCAAATCCACATCTTCTGTACCTGTGTGCTGGGAGACATTCATGGATCTGTTTTCTCCTATTAACACATGTCCACCTTTGATTATTTTCATTCTTTTTCCTGAGTTACTTCTGTCTTAGAGTATTTTCCCTTTAAATCCAGCTGCTGTATCTTGGGAGTGCTTGAACTCTTTCCATTTGTTTGTTTTCAGTGTTTCTCTGTCACAGTAACCTGATGCTGGAGGTGATGCCTTAGATAGTTGGGATGTATTTGACTGGTGGTAAAATATGCCTGTTGTCAGCACTGTTTTGGGAGCAGAGCTACGATGAGGCTAGTGATAAGTCTCTAGGAGATTAAAGGAAATTCTCCAGGATCATCTTGTTTTATAGCAGTGGCAGAAACAACCACATTAAAAAAGCACTTCCCTTTGAGACTGAGAAACTGCAAAAGCTGAATAAATAAAAGTCCTTGACAGCTGCTAAGTATGGTTAGGGTAAACTAAAGAGAATCTGTTGAAGTAGCAAAGTGTACATAATACTGTGTGGTTTTACAAGGTGTTCAGTTTGGTATGGTCTATATATGGACCATCTCTTTCTCTTAAGACCAATAAGTGGTGGCTGCCCCAACCATGGTGGTGTTCAAGGCCAGGCAGGATGAGCCTTGAGCAACCTGCTCTGGTGGGAGGTGTCCCTGCCCAGGGCAGGGGTTGGGGCTGGATGATCTCTAAGGTCCATTCCAACCCCTGAATTCTATGATTCTGTGAAAAGAAATCCAGTCATAGAATTCAGTCACTGTATGAATGTTACATTCCTTTTTTAAGGACTACTATTTTACTAGTCCCCATTCTTGTAACAAGTGTCCAGCTTCAAATTTGGTAGTGCTGTTCTCATCAAAGGAGAATGAAAACAACTCTGGCAGCTGCTTCTGTATCAACTGATAATTCCTCTTAACTGACCAGAAGAAAACATGAATTCCCCACCTATTTTCTGTGAGGTAGTTGGCAGTGTTCATACTTCTCTTGTGCTTTGAGAGTGGGTTTATTGTTTTGTTTTTGTTTTCTTTCTGGGTTTTTTATGGCTGTGCACCAAGCTGCAACTCGGTTTGATGTATTTCCAAGGTTAAAAATACTGTCCTGATGATAAGCTTGGCTGGGCCAGGCTGCACCAGCAGTGGGGTGGGAGGTGCTGCCCCTGTGGGGCCTGCAGCTCTCCCCTGGAGAACACAGCCATGTCCTTTTCCTTTGGAATGGGATGTTTGCCTAGTCTCTGTGTCGAATCTCAAATTTAATGTGGTTTGGAATAGGTATAAAAGCAAAGAGGAGAGTGATATCAGTGTGTGGGGCAAGAGTAGGTGTCCTGTCAACCCACCCTCACTCCAAGGCTGGTTCCCTAGCTCTGGATGTCCAGAATGAGTGATGAGAAGTCATACTTAGCTGCTTCTCTGCAAGAATCTTCACAGAATAATCAGAGCTGCAAAGGACCCTTGAGGATCATCTCCTGCAACTCCTGCCCTGCACAGACATCCCTGACAGTCACACCCTGTGCTGAGAGCATTGGCCAAACACCTCTGGAGTTATGTTTTCTAATGGCTTCTCTATGGTAGTGCTTCCACAGCATTAATGCCTCCTGCAAGTAACATTTCTTTTCCATCTTTTGCTGTGTCCTGGCCTTTAAAACAGGCAAAGCAGGACCTTTTTGGATTTTTTTTTGTATAAAAGTTACAGTAGACACAAAGATATTTTTTTTCAGTTTTGCTGGATCAAAGGTGTCTCAAAATATTCCTTCAAACAGGATTGGCATCACATAAAACAAATGTTAGCTCTACCACAGAGTCTGACTGTTGTTCTAAGTAGGTAGTTTCCTGGCTTATTTCCTGAAGGTGCATTACTGACCTGTGTGCATTGTAGATGTTAACTCAGTTTTCTTTGATTCTGGCAAATGTTTGTATATTTAGCCTCACCCTGCAAGTGTTAGAGTCTGAAGTCTTTTCAATGGACATGGAAAGGGTGTGGAAAGAAGTTTGTGATATAAATGCTACTGGTAGATGTGTCTAAGGCTTAAGAGGAGGAATCCACATTAAAAAAATCCACCCAAAAATGCAAAATTTTTTAATATTGTGATAATTTTAAATCTAGGAAGGCTGTGGTTGTAGTGTGATTATACAAATTGTGATAGCAACTGTGCTTATTCCAACAGGTAACATTCCAGGCTTGCAGCATTTCTGAAGCAAGGTATCTCTATGATCAGCTAGCCACAATTTGTCCCATTGTGGTAAGTAATGGACATCTAGCAGATGAACTCTTCCATAGTGGGAAAAGCTACTGCATATAAAGTTAAAAAAAAAGAATTATAAATTACAAGCTCCCAAATTTGGTGCTCTGGGAGAAGTGTCAGCCTCTTTCTAGGTCATCACATGAGTTGTGTTGTGCAAGTGACACCACAAAACTGATGATGTCTGTTCCTTCTCGGCCCTCATGTCTTCCTTCTCCTCTTCTCCCCTTCCCACATGCACAAGACTCTTGCTGAACAGCTCTGGAGATACATTTGAGGCTGGGTTTTGTGGAAACAAGGCAAATTCACTCCTTAAAACGGCTTTTAATTCTTCAGCTCTGGTCTGACATTACCGAAGGTTTCACCTTAAGCCTCTCTGTCCCTTTTGTAAGCATGTGGTCATAAACAGCTGTTAGAAAAACCAAGTATCAGTGTGGTCTGGATGATGAGCAGGTCCTGCCCTGAGTGAGGTATGTTCCAGCCGTGTTGCTAAGGAGCTTGGCCGAGCAAAACTGAAGTGAAATGATGGCCAGGGAAACCTGTGAAGTTTGGAAGTGTGCTGGCAGAATAATTGCTGGTTTGTCACCAAATTGCTTCCACCTGTATCCCCTTTGTGTTCCTTAAATGCCAATCTGTAGAGGGAAAACACCTGGAGAGCATCAGGTGCCACTTCAGTAGGGCTAACCTTTCACCCAGGTGTTTTCTGGAGGTAGCAGTTGAGAGATTCCTGGTTTTCTGGGCTGTGGTTTTGCTTTTGGTTCCTTGCCTGCCCTCTGTTCTGACATCAGGCTGTTTTCTTTCAGATGGCATTGAGTGCTGCCTCTCCATTCTACAGAGGTTACGTGTCTGACATCGACTGTCGCTGGGGAGTGATCTCGGCGTCCGTAGACGATCGAACGCGAGAAGAGAGGGGGCTGGAGGTAAGGAGGCTTAGGTACTACATGTCTGGGGTTTTGCAGGCAAAAAAAAAGTTAAATCTCCTTTAGTATCAAATTCTGCTTGTCCTCATCAGAGTCCCTAAGGAGGGAGCGTGGTGGTCTTGGTGGTGAATAGAGGAGAGGTGGTATCAACACTCATCTCAGTTGTACAGTTTGCAGTAGCAAATATATACTGTTAGTTAGGTATGGCCTCCCAGTAGAACTCCACTCAGTCCTCCACAGCTTGCTGGAAAGGATCCCCTGGGATGCAACTTTCCAGTCCAAAAGGCAAAAATTGCCCTGGGTTGAATAGCAGGTGCTGCTGGGTAATCCCATAGTATAAACTAGGACTGTGTGAAGAGAACCAGGTGTCAGAACTGGAACTTGAACAGTTTCTCTAAGCAGGAATTGGCACTTGAAAATTACATAAAATAAAACTAATTTAAAAATCTACTTGAAATATTTCCTGAAGTCCCCATTCCAAGAGCATCTCTAGCATAGTGCACATAGTGCAAATATGTTGGTATGTGTTGCAATAGGTATAATAATAATTATAATAATGCTTTCCAGGTACTTGGGGTGATGGTATATTGCATCAGGAAAACGTTTCCACTGCTAGAGAATGTTAGTCAATGTGTGATGACTGGTTTTTGCTCAAACATCTGCAGACAAAATAGTTGTAATTCCAGGGTCGCTTTCTATTGAGCCTGTTTAGTGCTTTTTCATAACTTGAGGCTGTAGGGTTTTTTAAACAGGATAATAATTCTCACATAAGTGTCATTTAGTGAGCAAAAACTTAGGTAACATTGTTAACAAGCTGTTAAAATATTGTATTCTTAAATTATATAGCCACTGAAGAACAACCATTATAGAATCAGTAAATCCAGATATGATTCCATAGACAGTTATCTATCTGAATGTGGTGAGAAATACAATGACATTGATTTGACAATAGACAAAGATATCTACGAGCACCTAATAAAGGAAGGTAAGTGTTTGCTTCATTCTGAGCAGGTTAAGAATGATGTTTGCAGTGTGTGGGGATATTTTATGTTGTTGTGCTTGTTTGTTATGATCATTGTGCAGCTCCTCAGGGTGACTCTTGCTCAGGAAGGATCTGTGTAGTGTGGTCTGGAGAGGTTTTCTTTGAAAGAAGTACTCATTTGTAACAGAGACTGTGCCTAATGCATCAAACTGAGCTTCTCAGGCTGGAGTGAATGCCTTGTCCATATGGAGAGAGCAGAACTGCTGTAGGAAACAGGGCACAGAGTGCATCACTAAACAGGAACCATGGCAGCCACATCAATGCTCAGCTGCCATTTCCAAACAAGAACCTGTTTTGGTTTGTTTTTCCTCTCTTTAATCATTTCCTTCCTTCCTGAAGTCAGCATTTAAACTTGAACAGGATGTGGTGGGTTGAGGTAGCATTGCAGAGTTGGATGTTTTCAGTCTTGTTAAAAAAACTCCAGTAATTTCTTAGAGCCTGTTTTGATCTGTGTGAATATGTTTGTTTGAATTTTCATTTTGTAGGTATTGACCACCTTTTGGCACAGCATATTGCACACTTGTTCATTCGAGACCCATTGACTTTGTTTGAGGAGAAAATACATCTAGATGATGCAAATGAATCCGACCACTTTGAGGTTATGTCTGATTTAGAGGGATTTAATCAATACCTAAAGTTGCTTTTCTTTATCATACTGCTTAATGGGAGTTTGGCTGTATCAGCTAAGAACTTTTGCATTCATTTTTCACTTAGCACTTCTTAGCAGTTTAAAGCACATTTATTTTTTGTTGTTTTATCTTTTATTTAGAAGGTGATGGTTCATAATTTAAACCAAGTAGAGTTTGAAGAGCCTCAACTATAGCTATGTATATAAGTGTCAAGGGGAACTGTTTATTTTTATGACTTCCTAAAAACTGTTCTGCATTATATTTATGGAGAACTGTCTCTCTTATACAGCTTTATGAGATAATGGTTATGGTGATATTAGGTTGGTTTAGTTTGGGATGCATCTAGACAAAAAGCTCAATAGAATCAGGATTTTTAGGGGTTGGAATGGAGCTTAGGGATGATCTAGTCCCAAGCCCTGCCCTGGGCAGGGACACCTCCCACCAGAGCAGGTTGCTCAAGGCTCATCCAACCTGGCTGTGAACACTGCCAGGGTTGGGGCAGCCACAGCCTCCCTGGGCACCCTGGACAGGGTCTCACCACCAGAACAGGGAAAAAAAATCTTCCTAATATCTAGGCTAAATTTCTCCTCTTTCAATTTGCACCTATTGCCCCTTGTCCTGTCCCTGCAGCTCCTAACACAGATCCCTCTGCAGCTTCCCTGGAGCCCCTTCAGCTCCTGGAAGGTGCTCTGAGGTCTCCACTCAATCCCATAACAATCCCCTGGGATCTTGCACATAATCCTCAACCAGAACAGCATGAGAAAGTCTAACATGTTTGCTCCACCTATCTGTGGGTTTTAGAAAGTCCTGCCACTCACTTTGGAAGCACTTCTCTAACTCTAACGGGCTGTTCCAAGGAAAACATTAGGACTCTAGTTATCTACTTGTTTTCCTTTGATTGTATTGAGATTGTGACAGATTATTTCCTGTGCTTTGCAGAATATTCAGTCTACAAACTGGCAGACAATGAGGTTTAAGCCACCACCTCCAAACTCAGATATTGGATGGAGAGTGGAATTCAGACCCATGGAGGTAAGGAGAGGACATCAGTATGAACCAGAGCACATTTTCCTTGAAGTGGAAAAGTACCAGGCATTCTGCCATCCTGTATCAAACTCCTGTTACTTGTGCTGTGCTTTCCTGCTCTGAATTGCTGGACACAAGTGAAGTGGACAGCAGTGTTTAATCAGATAGGGACTGTGGGAATTTAACTGACAGGAGAATCCACTGCAGCACAGCAGGGCATGCTAATGGATCTGGGGTGATGGGGAAAGGAATTAGGCTTGTATTAAAGCAACACTAAACAAAGCCCCATTTAGCCTCTAGAGACTGTATTTCTGCAGTACATTTCCTGGTGCTGAACAATTCCACTGTCCCTGTTTTGTTTTCCACGAGTGCTTTTATTCTGTTTCTAAGCTCCCTCTGAATTTAATCCCTTTAGAGGGGAAATGTCAAAGCTGCTATGCATCTGTGATTAGACAGCCTGAAGGTACAGGTTGTTAGTCCTTTGAGACACAACTGTGTCTTTGCATCAGGTTGCAGGCTTGGGTTTGTTGAAGCATTTGTATGCACTGTGCATTTGAGGTCTGTCATGGACACTTAGTCAAAAAAAACTGTTTTGAACTGTCTTCAATATTTGTCTACCTGCAGGAGTGTGTTCCCACTCAAATAATGGAATCTCTAATCCTTTCCTGTCTAGGTGCAGTTAACAGACTTTGAAAACTCAGCATATGTTGTGTTTGTGGTATTGCTAACCAGAGTGATTCTGTCCTATAAACTGGATTTTCTCATTCCTTTGTCCAAGGTAGGTGTGAAACAGCAGATCTCTCAGAGCTGAATGCAGTGTATTGGCATCAAGTCTGATTTTTACTCTCTTCAAGCTAGGAAATAATGTTTATGCACTTACAGAACAGTCATTTTTGTCTTTCAATTAGTTTTCATAGGTACCAGTACTTTGAATCAATTTCAACTCTGTGGTATTAAACAAATATTTAACTGCTGCCACATGGAATTAAACTTAAATACTGTAGGAGTTTGTGTGGTGCCTAACAGTGTCTGACAACTGCAGAAATGCTGAGAAATAGCAATGTCACAAGGCAGTTTGGAGGCTGGGAAAGGGCATGTTTCCAGCATTTTACATGCAGGGAAAAATAACTTGTGGAGGAAGGTCAAAATAGAAACTGTAGATATTTATTTTAACATGATTGTTGCCTGTGTCTCATGCTCTTGCTCTGTTTTGTTTATATCTGGTGGAGAGGAGTTCAGCATGCTTAGTATTTGAGTGGAAACAAATCTTGCTGATTCTGGTCACCACTGTGACTTATGTTTACACAGAACAGCTATGAAAAACCTCCTTTTTCCTTTCACTTGTCCTCACAATTATTGAACTCTGTTGTGTCAAACTGTCCTTGTGCCTCGTTCTGAGGCACTTGACCAACAATAAAAGTCTTTTCAGGTGGATATTCCTGCAATGTTATAGGTAACTTTAAAAAAGGTCTTGCAGTGCAGAAATCTTTTGGGGCTGGAAACTCCTGCCAGTGTTGGCTGCAGCATAGCCATAGTGTCCTGTGGTTTTTTGTACTGGAGAAAAACACTAAAGTGGTAAATTTACATTAACTGTGCCATATATTTGATATGACTTCTAAAAGGAGGTGTCAGGCAGTTCAGACTTCATAAATAATGCAACGATTTAGCACTTAGATATTTACACTGTTATTTGGAGTGTCTGAAAAAGCTACAAGTAAAGAGGGAAAAGCAGATTAGGTGCTGAAAGAACCTGAGCAAGGGCTAGGGGGATGAGGGGCATCAAACTGCAAGAGCTTGCCAAGCAATTTGGCAGGTAATGCAGCACAGGATTGCACAACCATGGGTAAGCCTTCTCTTTCAAGTGAAATAAAAGGGGGCTGTGGGGCTAATCTCCCACTAATCTTCACTGTCGGATTGAATGTGGTGGAACACTCGTCAGCTGGGCCTGGAGTCCTTTCCAAACAGCCTGGGGTGGAAATAGGTTTCATAATAGAACAGGTGAAAACAGGCTTTTGGAAACAAAGCTTTGGAAGGCAGGAAGTAAGTGAAGATTTTTGCATTGCCCTTAATTAAAGGTCAGAGAGAGAATTCAGCAAATTGTAGAGGTCTAGAGGGAATAGTCATGAGATGAGACAGGGGAGAGTCAGGTTAGGTGCTGGGGAAAAATGTTTTCCCTGTGAGGGTGTTCAGGCACTGGGATATTGCTCAAGGAGGTGATGGAGTCACCATCCCTGGAGGTGTTTCAGAGATGTCTGGATCTGATGCTGGAGGATCTGGTTTAGGGCTTGCAGCAGTGACAGGTTAATGGTTGGACTTGATTATCTTAGAACTCTCCTCCAACCTTGATGGTTCTATGAGTCTATGAAATAATAAGAAACATAATAGATGTTTCAACTTATGAAACCACAATGTGAAAGCTTGGGCGAATCCTACTCTTCTAAAATCTCCAAAATTCTTCTTTTGCCAGGTGGATGAAAACATGAAGGTGGCCCAGAAAAGAGATGCTGTCCGACAGGGCATGTTTTATTTCCGGAAAGATATATGCAAAGGTATCACAGCAAACAATCTGCCTAACAGTGTTGTGGGTGCTCAGTGCCTCTCCTGCCTTCTAACCATTTCTTCCTTTCCATTGTCCCCTCTGAAGGTGGAAATGCTGTTGTGGATGGCTGTGGCTCAGCACAGAATGGGACAGGCACTGACACAGAGGAGTACACCCTAATGAGCATTGATACCATCATCAACGGGAAGGTCATAGCCTCTCCTGCCTGGAACAGGCTCTGTGCTGCCCTCCCAGAAACCAGACTGGGTGTGCTTGATGCTGATTTTCTTCTCTTACACAGGAAGGAGTCTTCCCTGGTTTGATCCCAATTTTGAATTCCTATCTTGAAAACATGGAAGTGGATGTGGACACAAGGTGCACCATCCTAAACTACCTGAAGCTAATAAAGAAGAGAGCATCTGGTATGTTTGACATTTTTTAACACATTTCCTACTTTCACTTAGGTAAAACTGATGGCAGTTGAATCATAAGAGCCAAGGACTGAAGTGTGTGTTCTCTGGCTTACATCTACTCCTGTCTAAATTTGATTATTAATGTTTGGTGATCCATTCTAGAACTTAACTGACACAGCCACAATTAGAGTTTAGAGAGTAGTATATCTCCAATCCAAGATCTCTCTTCAGCACAACATAACCCACTTTGTAGTAGTTTGCACCCAATCCAAGATCTCTCTTCAGCACAACTTAACCCACTTTGTTGTAGTTTGCATGTAGACTAATTCACTTTGCCCTGTAACCTGAGTGTTGTAGCAGTATCTGAGGCTGGTGTGGTGACCTGCCTGGTGTTACCAGTGTGTTCTTGGGCATTCTTAAGTCTGAACTCAGGTGTGATAGAGCATAGGACATGGGCTTTACCTCCCTGATAAGAAAGCCCTTCTATAAGTAGCAAAACTCCTCCAAAGCAGAGCAAACTAGGCTCCTCTGCTGTCTTTCCCCTCTTAGGGTGTTTTCTAAGAGAGGTGGTACAATCACTCTGTATGTTCCTTGTTAAAATGCAGCAGTATAATGAACAAAAGTTGCAGGCTGGACGTGAATTCAGAACTGGGCACACAGCACAGTCTGCAGCAGCTTTGTCTTTTCCTGTGCCCATCCCTTGTATACCTGCCCTGCTGTAAATTTAGCTAGATGGTTAATTTCAGTCTCTTAAGTCAAGACGTTTCTTTTTTCTCTCCCTCAATTTTAAACAAAAATATTGCATTCCTTTTTAACTCCTGACAATTGCTGTAGAAGCAGGTGTTTCCCTCCAAAAACCAACTTTGCTGCCTGTTGCAAAGTTGCAAGTCATTGCAAAACTCAGGACATGTATTTACACAGACCTAAAAGGTGTGAGAGTAAGGTAGGTAAGAGTCTAGGGCTTATAGTTTAGCTCTGATGAACTGAAATGATTTTCAGTGATGCTCTTAAGAACCAGAGTTGACAGAATGAAAAGCACTAGGTATTAGAATCATAGAATCAACCAGGTTGGAAGAGACCTCCAAGATCATCCAGTCCAACCCTCCCGTGGTCACTAGCCCATGGCACTAAGTGCCACATCCAGTCTCAGCTTGAAAACCTCCAGGGATGGGGAATCCACCACCTCCCTGGGCAGCACATTCCAATGCCTGAGCACTCTCTCTGCAAAAAATCTCTTCCTAATCTCCAACCTAACCCTCCCCTGGCAGAGCTTGAGTCTGTGCCCTCTTGTCCTGCTGCTGGTTGCCTGGGAGAAGAGACCAGCCCCCACCTGACTCCAACCTCCTGTCAGGGAGTTGCAGAGGGTGAGAAGGTCTCCCCTGAGCCTCCTCTTCTCCAGGCTGAACACCCCCAGCTCCCTCAGCCTCTCCTCATGCCACTTGTGCTCCAGTCCCTTCCCCAGCCTCGTTGCTCTGGTCTGGCCCTGCTCCAGCCCCTCAATGTCCCTCCTGAGCTGAGGGGCCGGAACGGAGCACAGGATTCAAGGTGTGGCCTCACCAGCACCGAGTGCAGGGACATAATGTTACTGTGCCTTGATGTTTCTCAGCTGTAAGCTTTGGATTATTCCAGTTAACACTCAATCTTCAATGTTCCTGGTCTGTCTAGCAGGAGTCATGTCCACAAGAAGTGGCTGTTGCTCAGATTTCTCTCTTCAGATGGTGACCACAGCACTCCTGAGTTAAACAATGACTCCTTAGCTGTCACCTTGCCCTGACATCATTCACCTGTGCTCAGTCCCATCTTCTCACAGCTCAGCTCGGTGTTGCTGCCTTAGTGTAGCTGCTGTGTGACTGTCACCTCTCAGACTACAGATTTGCAGCTGCTGAGCACCACCAGATGTTAATTGAAGCATTACTGAGGCAGCAGAATGGAGCAATCCTTGTCCTGGTGTGCTTTCCTGGTCCCCAGTGTGGAATTTTTCGGGTGACACTGGGGCTTTAATCACAGAGCTTGAAGCTCATTCACAAATGTGATTTCCATGATCTTTGCCTTCCCCTTCTTGAAGCAGCTACACTTTTTGTCCCCATAAAGTCTTACAATAAGAAATGCCACAGTTCTATTACATACTCTTTGAAAACTCTAATCCCTGTAGCTTTGCATGCTTAAATGCTCTTCCCAGTTATTCCATGATACATCCTCTAGTCCCTGTGTTGGAGGATCATGTCTTTCTACTCACTTCTCATAATGATGCAAACTTCTCCATTGTACTGTTGACTCTGAACTCACAATTCCCCTTGTCTTGTCTCTCCTTGCTTGGAAGTCTTTTGCCAGCCTGTGATGCCTTTTTCCAGGACACTCTTAGGGAGCTGCATGCTTTGAGCACAGAGAAGGTGCTGCAGGTTTGGCGAGGATGGGGAGTGACTGTGCTGCCTGACCACTAGGTGTCTGTGTTGGTGTGAGCCACACTGCTCTGTCTCCTGCTCTGACAGCCCAGAAACGTGTCCCTTTACGCTTCACTCATCTGGCCCCACTGATTTTCTTGCAGGCTCACGACTAGGGTATTTCTGAACAGTCTTGGATGCTCTTTACTTCTTACTTGTGTGTTTCTCTATGCGACTAGGGTATTTCTGAACAGTCTTGGGTGCTCTTAACTTCTTATTTGTGTGTTTCTCCATACTTTTCCTAACTTGATTCCTCTTGCTTTTTGTAACATTCTTAAAGCAAAGAGCCTTTGACTCTCCACTCTCCAGGGGGAGCTGATGTTTCAGTAGCTAGCCATGAAAGGCTTTTTGAGCATCCCATCATGGAACTGTTGGAGCAAGTGCAGAGAAGACTACGAAGTTGCTCAGAGCACTGGAGCATCTCCCTGTGAGGACAGGCTGAGGGAGTTGGGGCTGTTCAGCCTGGAAAAGAGAAGGTTGTGTGGAGACCTCAGAGCACCTTCCAGGAGCTGAAGGGGCTCCAGGGAAGCTGCAGAGGGATCTGTGTTAGGAGCTGCAGGGACAGGACAAGGGGCAATGGACACAAATTGAAGGAGGGGAAATTTAGGTTAGATATTAGGAAAAAGTGTTTCCCTGTGAGGATCTGGATCTGGCACTGGAGGATCTGGTTTAGGGGTTGCAGCAGTGACAGGTTAATGATTGGACTCAATGATCTTAGAGCTCTCCTCCCACCTTGATGATTGTGTGGTTGCAACATCTGAAGGTTGGATGATCACACCAGCTCAGTGGCTTTTAGACCATCAGCAACGTGTCTCTGCAGTTTAGCCATGTTTGGACCCAAACAAAGACTACAGGAATGTGTTTCTCATGACAGCATGGGCTGTCCATGCATTGTATGCCTTATGCACAGAACTCCAGGTGTTCCAAACTCTGAAATTTGCCTTCCCCTTGCCCACAGGAGAACTGATGACAGTCGCACGGTGGATGAGGGAGTTCATTGCTCAGCACCCAGCCTACAAGCAAGACAGTGTGATCACTGATGAAATCAACTACAGCCTTATCTGGAGGTGCAACCAAATTGCACAAGGCCAGGCAGAGTGTCCTGAACTCTTGGGGGCAGGATTTAACAAGAAACAAAGTGGAAACAAAACTGACTCTTTGTAATGAGTGAATGCTTCTTAAATCATAAAAAGCTGAAGCCTTTTAGCAAAGCACTAGCAAAGATACTGTGAATCTGGTACAGTTTCATGGTGTGAAGACCAAAACAGGGATACTGCACTATAAAATGGGCCAATCTGCCTAAATATTCATTTTAAGGCATCCTAAAATAGGCATATTCTTATTGTTAAGGTTTATACAATATACATGTAAATAGTAAACTATTTTTATGATTAACATCAATGTATTTTAATAACATTGTAACTAAAGTTATTGTGAATTAGCTTGTACCTTTTTTATGCTTATCCTAGAAAGGAAAAACAAAAATCGTCCTGAACAGCTTTGTAAATGTAATGGTACTTGTATATTTTATGCATTCCAGTTACTGAATGTTTACTGTAATTTTTTTTTAACCTGGAATGTGCTAAGTCATTTACCTTATTGTGTAAGAAAAAAAATTCTGCTGGACCTACCTGAATCGCACATACTTCTTCCTTCCCTTAGGGTTTTGAAAGTCTGCAAGGACAGCTCAGTGCATGTGCATCCCTGTTGTTAAACTTTGCAGCAGTTTCTCAGCTGCCACAGGACCTGCAAGCTGTGCAGCTCAGAGGAGCAGCTGTCTGCATTCAGGTGCTGCAAGTCAGGCTGTGTCTGCAGGTGCAGTTCAGTTCCCCTCTGAAACAGATCTGTGTGCTCAGAAATCTGTCCAGGGGTTTAACAAAACAAGGAGCAATGGGAGATGTGGTGCAAGAGATGTGAGCTGAGCATAAAAGTCTCTTTGCCAAGAACCCAGAGACATCCTCTTTGCTCCTCAGCACTCCTTTGCTCTTCCTCCCACTTTGCTGCTGCTCCCACAGTCAACAGTGACTGCAGCACAAAACCAAACTCTTCTGCCTTCCCTAAAGGTTGAGTTTCTCCTCTGTCACTCATTATTATAAATACTTTGGTCAGCATGTTGATTTCCTCTAAGGTACTTGATGTAGGTAGCTGAGGCACCTACATAGCTGTAGTTGTGGACAACTTAATCCCCTCTAGAAAATAGCTATAAAGAGAAATTGCACTAATCCTTTGAATTGGGAGCTGGTGCTGGGAGTGACTGTAAAGTATTTAAAATTTAGCCATCGCAACTGTAAATAAAACAAACTTAAGGGGCCTTTTTGATTTAGCTTCTGAACTGACTTCTAGGAGTGAATTTCATTCTGGGTGGGTGATGCAAAACTTCATGCAAGCCTATATAGATACCTGAGGTGTAATGATTTTTGTCTCAAAGGACTAATGGAGAAACTGCAAGGAAGAGGTGCACTAAGGAAAAGCTTTTATGTACTGAAATTAGACTTTGTTCTGTGCTCACGGGTGTGCTGTAGAGAATAAAAAGGATGCTCTTTTCCTGCAGTGGTGAATTTGTTTTAATCCAGATGTAGGCACATGCTGATTTAGTTTCTGTAATAAGAAAATAAAAAATAAAGTTTGCAGTATGTGTTGGTCGCTTGCATGACTTGAACTCACATTTTCAAGTTCAAAAAAAACCAGGAGGAGTCGTGTACTTGGCCAGTACAACTCATCCAAGGCTCACTTTGTTCACAGTGCATCTTCAGGACTAAGGGCAAATGCTCTGCCACCCCCTGTGCCAGAGAAGTCCTTGCCATTGTCAAGGTAGCATCTGCCTGATTGCACAGCATGAGCTGCTCTGCTTGGAAGACCCCTAAAAATAGTCACAAGGCTTTCCTGCTGCTACTGCACCAATACACATCCTCCTTCCCTTTCAGGTGCTATTAAATCACCCTCTGGCCTAGTAGGTGTCCTCTAAGCAAGAGAACATTTTGCTGTGATGCCCTGAAACCTCTGCCTGTAAGCTCCTCCTCGTGACTTCTTGTGTGGTGCTTTTTAAGAAGGGATGAAAGAGATCAAACACAGAGCTGCTGCTTGTTTGTTGAGACACCCATGGGTGCAAGTTCACTGGAGGAAGAGTTAAGGTATGTGCTCCAGCCTGTGCTTTATGGTGTGGCTCTCCCAGGGCAAACTAGAGTTGCTGCTGCCACTAGTTCTGAGTATGTGTCAGAGGTGGCTGTGTGGTATCTGCACCCACCCTGAGGTGGAGAAGCAAACCCTAGACCAAGCCTGGAGCTCTGTCTGACCTTCTGAAAAGAGCATGAGAAACTCCTTCAGGCTATGAATTCAGGATCTTTGGTCCTGCAATGCTTTCATGGAAATAATGACCTTTCCAACTGTCACATGAGCAAAGGGAGGGGAAGCAGCATCAGGCACCTGAGGTGAATTGTGGTTGATTCCTTGCCCAAAGACCTTAGTAGTGCATGAGTTGTGGCATTTCCTCCAATTGCTCATGTGCTGGCCACAGTTCAACCCCAGTAATTTGCTTCATGCTTTTCCACTCCCTTTTCAGCTAGAAGGTCCTGTTGTGATTTCCAGAGGTCTTGATGCTATAAACTGCTCTGATGCCAGTTGTCTCTTAGAGTCAGACTACTTCAGTCCTAATTCATGGATTGTTTTAGCCATGCTTTTACCATGGCCCAAATCCTTCAAACATGCTCCTTTTGTGCGTGCACAGAGCTCTGCAGGCAGTTTCTTCTCAGAGTGTTGTGGCAAGAGCTTCATTACACTCCTTTGGCCCTGTAAAAGCAGCCTGAGCTCTGTGAAAAGAGCATCACAGCCTGTGGAAGCTGCACTGAAGTGTCTTGAAGAATTCACTCACCTTTTGTTTGCAGTCATTGTGTTTACTATTTTTGCGTGGATTATATTTGGTGTGCTGATGTGGTTTTGCAGCAAGTTTGAGAGACACCTGCTACTTCCCAGGAGCTGTGACAGCTGAGGTTGTTGCAGCTCAGCAACGGCCACAGCCCCAGTGGGGTCAGTGATGCTGTTGTAGCCACAAGTGTGAAGCAGAGCACAGGGGAGGGGAAGGGTAGGGAACAGATCATTTCCTAGTTCTCTCATCCTGCACAGCATCACTTTGAGCAGGAAGATTGGATCATAGAATCATCAAGGTTAGAGGAGACCTCTAAAATCAAGTCCAACCATTAACCTGTCACTGCTGGAACCCTTAAACCCCAAAGCAGATCCTCCAGTGCCACATCAGACACCTCTGAAACACCTCCAGGGATGGTGACTGCACCACCTCCCTGGGCAATATCCCAGTGCTGAACACCACAACAGGGAAAACATTTTTTTGTAATATCTTATCTGACTCTGCCCTGTCTCAGCTTTGTGAAAATAACCAGAACACTCCATAGCATCATGAGACAGCAAAATCCTGTATGAATTCCACAGAAAAAATCAGTGAGGGAGAAGGGGCAATGGGGCAAAAGGAAATAAAAGAGCTCTCTTAAGGCTATGCAGTACCAAAGAAGTGAAAAATCCCTCTGCAAAGCCTCCTGAAAAATGTCCTTCCTGAAAATATACTGAAACCAGAGGTAGTACAAGGATTTGGTGCTGGATGGGACTGTCTGCCTGTCCCAGGTGCAGAATTGGCACTTGCCCCTGTTAGACTTCATATGGTTGGTGATTGCTCAGCTTTCTGATCTGTCTGGGTCTCTCTGCAAGGTCTCCCTGAAGGTAAACCCTGCAGAGCTGCAGCAGCACTACTGAGCCACACTCAGGGGTGTTTCTGGGTCCTGAATAGAATACACTGTACAGAAATAATGAGCTCTTGACTGGCACTGTCCTTGGCCAGAGCCAGGGCAGGTTCCAGGGAGAGGAGTGTAACTGTCCATAAATGCTGGCTGCAAATTGAACAGCAAGGTGAGATACTGTGGCTTATGTCAAGAAAGAAATGGCTATCAAGTCTTTTCTAAGTCTTACTTAGAAGACAATCTGTTAATTTAGCCCTTGAATTTAGTTACATATCTCCAGGTTACTCCAAAAACTACTCCTGTGACGTGGCCCAAAGGGAAATCTAAGTGAGAGGGTAAAAAAGTGACATTTCCTCACTTCCCAGTGAAGGAAAGTGAAGGTAATACTCAGAGACAGATTGTGCTCAAAAAGAAAAAAAAAAAAAGGGTTGGTGTATGATGGTTCCTCATCACTGGCTTCCAAGAGTTTGTGTTCTGGCTGGAAAAAAAATGCTAGTTGATAAAATATTTAAGCAACAACAGCAACTGTTCTTACCCTGGAAAAAGTCCAAGCTCCTATTAAATGCAATTAGATGGCGAGTGAGCAGATTTTTATCTGGTGGCACAGGATGATGGTGCAGGTTTCGATGAAAGACTGAAAGCTCTGCCTTGCTGTCTGCCTCCAGCCAGTCGGGAGGAGCTGCTGCTCTGGCAGGTCTTGTTCAGAAGAGGCTGCTGGGGGCAGCTAGGGGGAAAAAAGAGAGCAGAGAAGCCTAATACCATCCACGTCCCACTTTCTCCCCACTCCCTGGGGAAGCAGCTGTGCCAAGATGACCACAAGCTCTGCAGCATTTTTCAGCCAGGTTTATTCTTTCCCTTCAAGCATTTTCTAGGCTGGACTCTGTGCCTTCCCATCTGTTCCCATCCATGCAGGCACAGGCAGAGCTGGACATCTAATCCTTGCCAGCTTACTCACAACATGGGCATTCAGAGGCCAAGGACTCGCAGTGTTTTCCTTGGCCGTGTCAGGGACTGGGAGTCCTTGCCCAGAGACCGTCATCCAGCTGCCTGATGAAAAACAGGAAAGCCTTCCAGAAACAAAACACCTCTCTGCTGAGGGGAAGCAAAGCTTGGCATCACCCACATTTCCTACCCTTCACCCCACCCTGCAGCGTTCCTGTGCCTTACTCATCCCTCTGGCATCAGCCGCAGGGCAGCTGATTTTAGGGAGCAGCAGGACAGAGGATGGCACAGGATGTTACTGCAGGGAGGCCAAGCTGGCAGCCACTTCTCCTGACCCCCTGGACTCTGCAGGAAGATCTGTTTTGGACTCAAGACACAAACTAGACCACTGAGCACAAACCACTTCTGCCTGTGATTTCTCACCCTGACTAGGATGAGCCAGAGCAATTTTTACAGAGTGCTCAGGCATTGGAATGTGCTGCCCAGGGAGGTGGTGGATTCATCATCCCTGGAGGTTTTCAAGCTGAGACTGGATGTGGCACTTAGTGCCATGGGCTAGTGACCACGGGAGGGTTGGACTTGATGATCTTGGAGGTCTCTTCCAACCGAGTTGATTCTATGATTCTATGATATCAACTCTGATGTGATCCCTGAGTTTGGCAGCATGGACATTTACCAGCAAAGTGAAATTCTCTCAGCACGGAGAGAGGAAAAGCAGGGTCCTCGCTGGGGTGTGCTCATGGCAAGGGGATGAGGTCAGGCGAAGCTCAGTGCTAAGCCCTGGGCCAGCCCTAGGTGTCCTCCTAAGGTAAGAGGCAGTGCATGAGCTGGGAGAGAAAATACCTGTTCGGGTGGGAATAAAGGGAAAAAGGAGCCAGAGCCACAGAGGAATTCCAGGGCCAAATCCTGCTC